AAGACAAAGAACATTTTGAAACAGCTTCATTTTTGATTTTAATGCATTTTTGCAGGAAACTGTCTTGAGATGCAATCTAAAAGGCTTATAAAATAGACTTTAGGTGCATGAAATGAAAAAAAAAAAAACCCCACCACATTTTATTTCAAGCCTAGAATAAGCCAACACATTCTACGTGTTTTGCCCAACCATTTCAGGTCAGCCACAGTCAACGGAACCAAATCCCCAAACACTTGGGTTATTCTGGGTTTGGGATGAAATGAAAGCTAGACAGGGCAAGTAGAGCACAGCTGATGTGATCGTTCCCTCCTGTCCTTGGTCCCACAGCAGGTCCCAGCGCACAATCTCCCATCCCCATGCCCTCCCTGTCTCTCCCCCTCCCCCAAATCTCTCCATTGCAGGCTCTGCCTAGAAGGGCCTATTTTACTGGTCTGAACTGTCACCCAATCTTTCAATGCCTCCCCCCTCGCCATTCTGCTAAATGAGCTGGGCTTTTCCTGTTCTTTCCTCTCACGCACACCTCTGCCTGGATCAGCCCCGTTTTAGTCCACATTTCATTTAATCCAGTGGTTCTCAACCTGTGGGTCGGGACCCCATTTGGGGTCGAACGACCATTTCACGGGGGTCGCCAAACAACGCAGTCTGCCATTTTTTCCCCCCTTTCCCTTAGCTGTGCTACTCCCTTTTATTCTATTGGCTTTTGAAAGCCAACAGAATAGACTCTCTTGAATAGAGTCTAATTCTATTGGCTTTCAAAAGCCAATAGGAATTGTCCAGGCTGTCTCTGCCCTGCTGAGCCCGCCAAAAGTCCCATTCTGCAAACGGTGCTGTACCAATTGAGTAATCCTCAACTTACGACCGGTTGAGTAGTCCTCGACTTACGACCGGCTGGGAGTTGTGGCATTAAAAAGGTTGAGAACCACTGATTTAATCCCTTAGGACAGTGTTTCCCAAACTTGACAATTTTAAGGCATGTGGACTTCAACTCCCAGAATTCCACAGCCAGCGTTGTTGGCTGTGGAATTCTGAGAGTTGAAGTCCTCATGCCTTAAAATTGTCAAGTTTGGGAAACGCTGCCTTAGGAAGGCGGCCTGTCTTAAAACGCAACTCTGGGAGGCTCAAACAAAACAGCCCCAATCTTGCTATGTGCAGAAACTAATACACCTCAAATATGAATATGCTTCAGTTTGGGCACAGACCACCCAGCGGATACAGGCGCCCCTGGCTATTAGTAGCATTATTCATCTATGTTTTTTAAAAAAAATTAAAAAAAATAATAATAAAAATCACTCAACTTCACGCAGACACCTATTTATCTCAAATTCCATGTCCGAAAGATCCGACAGAATGGAGCTTTAGGATGGATGTCTTTTGGTAGCGCGTCACTCATGTTTAGATAATAATATCATGCTTGGCTGATGTGATCCCCTTGGTTTCCCTTTCTGCTCCTGACCTTTTGGTCATCAGAAGAAAGGAAGAAAAGATCCTTTTTTATGCAGCTAAGCTGGAATAAGTGGAGACGGTGCATGACCGACAGGCTTATGGCACAGAGAGAACCCCTGTCCCCTATAGCATTTTTTTTTTTTTTAGCTATATTTTCTTGGTGGACCTTCCTTCTCAAGTATCTGGGTTGGGGTTGGGGAGAGGACAGGAGACAGAGGCACTTGCATATACAGGAAGGATCCACAGGGTTCCAGAGCCACCATTTCCGGCAAAAAATATGCATACTAAAAACGAAGCCAAAATGGATGTAGAAGACACTTACCCACACGCTCCCAGTTGTACACAGGTTGAGCAGGCAGCTCTAAGACCCTATAGGCTAAGATTTCCATGAAAGCACATTAAAATTCAAGAAAGCTTTTAAAACGAAGAACATGTACAAAAATAAGTCCATATACTCCTGTGAAAAATATACTGGAAACTGCCACCACAGATGAGGTACCATTTATTCCCCGCCCACCCACCCAGCTCCATTGCAACATCAAAAAAATATCGTTAAGTCTTTTAAAAACAAAAGAACAATATCTGTCTGTTTCATAACCTTGGTTAAAACAGCACCCCTTTGTTATACCATTACAAAACAGAAAAGTCAGAATCTCACATCTTAAAACACAAGCCTGAATTCCTGCTTCTCTGGCCTCGTGCAGTCATTGTCCACCTCCATTTAAATAAATATAGCAGCTATAAGTATGGTAAGAAGTGTGGCACCCAATGCCAATACACTGATATTGTTATTAAAAATGTTTATCGGCACTTTACAAAGATAGCTTCACAACTCCAAGGTTGCCAGGTTTGGTTCTTAAATTAGTAGATTCCCTCCACGTGAAAACCATTTCACTGCTTTAGCACGCCACATGAATTGAAAAGATGCTTTCCCGATGGTCTTTGATTGGCAGGAAGGAGAAAACTGGCAGGCAAGGTTTGCAAATTAATTTGCTTAACAGCAGGAACAGAATAAGACATACCTATCATACTGCATCCAGATGTGAAGAACTTTTTTTTTTTTTTAAAGGAAGCAAAACTCAGTGCCCAAAATAAGCTTTTTAAAGTGCTTCTAAAAAGCTAACTTGGAAAATTGTTTGGGGCATGAATTCCCACTAGAGTAGCACTCTCTAAATCAGAAAAAAAAAAGTTCAATGTAAGCATTTATGAAGATGCTTATCACTTTACCATACGTTCACCCAGAAACATCAAACTGTGGGTGCCTTGGTGCTCTCTGAGCTTGGATGTTTCCTTGCAGATGTTCCATGACCCGACTAGATAAAATCGTCAGTGCTAGAGAAGGAGAGAACTAGATGTGACCTAGCCCAGTCATGAAAGGTCTGCAAGGAAACCACCAACTCAGAAAGGGCATCAAGGATCCAGCAGTTGAACCCTGAGCTCCAAATATTCTCTTCTATTGGTACTATGAAACTTGCATTGAGCTCTGGTGAGGTTGGACAGCCTGGATTGATAAATGGGGCGCGTTTTCTTTGGGCAAAAAGATGATAGGCAAATGTGAAGGAATCTCCCATAGCCTGAACTTCATAGGTTCATGCTGGGAATGCAAAGGTAAGTGTAGTATATTAATGCATCCTCAGCTGGGACACTTTCGAGGCCTGCAGTTCACTTGTTACCCAAGCGAGCTGCTTCCAAAACCAAAGTGATTTCAAGTGCATTCAAATTGCACCCTTTTCTCTGCTAGGCCACCAGGTGTGGTAATGCACTTTGAGACGCCATCCTATAGAAATCCAACAAACCCATCCTTAAAAAACATGGCAGAAGGGTAAAGGGAAATGGTTGGGGGGGGGGGCAAAGTGGACTCAGATTAACCAGCTCCCCCGTACAAAAGATTGGCAAAGAGTGGGCTCTTTTAAATGCAACAGGGAGGTAAGTAAACATACGTCAACCAGTCAAAAGGTTTTCACGTGGAGAGTGCGTGGCGCTTTGTTTCAGCAGGGCTGGGTTATTCAACAATGCCCAATTGAACCATCTGCAGTCCCTATCGCTGCAGATATAAAAACCAGTGCAAATAAAACAGACGAAAATGCAGCTCACGTGTTTACAAAGTGCAAAACGGTTTCCCCCAAACCCTGCCACTGAGTCACAATGTTCACCTCTGACAATAAAATACTTTGCTTCAGCTATCAAGTGGAATGAAACAGAGAGAGGCCCACCTACCAGATTCACATTTAGCGGCCTCATTTCTAAAATGTATCCCACCAAACAAAATAGCGCGCTCAATTTCAAAACAAAAAGCCTACACAATCAAAAATTAGCTTCTTAAGACTCCCACCCACCCACCCACCTGCATTTTAGGCTTGGCCTGATTTCACTGGGACAAGAGTTAAGACGTCTGCAAAAGGCTTTGCTGTAGAGGAAAAACAGTCATAAAATAAAGATTCCACAAACAGGTCCTGGGTTACAAGGCAGCATTTTAAACACTGGAGACGAAGAGCAGCATGAAGGAGTTTGCCTTTTTGATTAAAAAAATAATAATCGTCCCGTTATAAGGCTTTCCTTTCAAAATTGAGGCTAATTCTGTTTGTTTAAAAGCACAGGTATGTCTTTTCCATCATGAGAGATGTAAAATGCTGCTGCAGCAAAAAAGGGACACAATATTTTTTTTCCCTTTAACGACTTATTGCACTAAAAACGCTAGCAAAAACAGGTTTGTCAGTAAACAAAAAGTTACGTCCCTAAACATAAAACCCCAGGTTGCCCATACATCCACTTAAATTAAAGCATTGTTATTTGTCTAATAAATATAAAAGAGAAAAAAAAGTACACATATAGAGATATGCGTGATCACATTAAAGTGAGAGGAAGCGACTCAACAAATCTGTCTCTTTAAAAAAAAAAAAAAATAACTCTCCACTTCAGCACGATGTGCCACCCTGCGAAATGAAGGGAAATACGATATTGCAAGAAGCTTGGAAGATACGGGCACAACACACAAGAGGAGACATTAGCTGGAATGTCTGGACCAGTAGAAAGCAACAACAGCATTGATCTGGCCAGACTGTGTCAGTACTTCTGGGAGAAAAATACATGATGGATTTTGTTTCATGATGGAAAGCAAATTGAGTGATGCGACTCCCAAGCCACGCAGACAGACACGAAAGGCAGCCGTTGGCTAAACTAGACAGGGAAGTATTAACTGCAAGTGCGCACGCTCTGCCCCCCCCCCAATTGCGAGGGGGCCGTTCACCCAAATGAACACTTGTTCTGCTTGCAATTCAAGCACAGACAACCGCGGAGGGGAAGCCGTAGGCGACCCGCAAAGGGTACGAAACAGATTAAAAACACTTTCGCACACACACCCCCAACCCGCTCCCACGTCAGCATCACTTGCATTGCTCCTGTACATTTTAATACCCTTTGTGTTGTTGTTGTGGGTTTTTTGTTGTTGTTGTTTTTTTTTGCAGAAAGAGTTGTGCTGCTGAGCAACTTGAGGTAAAGGCATAAAAAGGATTAGACTCCGACTCCTCCTCCCTGCTCCCACCCCCCCACCCCCGAAAAAGAAAAGAAACACAGAGACCCAAACGCAGAAAGGAAAAGATGATGACAGCAGCTCTTCCCGTAGGAAGCTGCCTCTGAAAGCAGTTGGCTGGTTTCATATTGCATAAGTGGCTTGTTCTTGGTGAAGTAAACAATCTTCCTTGCCTCGGGACAAGGATAAGGCCTGCTCCCCGTCCCCCACAAAAACAAAACAAAACAGAAATCAGCTTCAACAAGGCAGAGATGCTCCCTCCCCCGTTCACCGATTGCTCTGGAAACATACAGTGTATGTGACTTAATTCTGCAGTTCTTTCTTTCTTCCGTCAATAAGCTCCATCTCATTTTTTGAGATCTCTATCTCTACCTCTATTGTATATATAGCTAAGCAAAGTACATGGTGCGTAAGGTGTCTTGGTGAATCTGTACAGCCTTAGCGAGGGCTTGGGGGTCTCTTCCGTTGCTCTGTCCGGAAACATGGCTTCCTTCGGCACTGTAGGAAGAGGAAAAAGGGAAGAGAGAAGATGAACAAACACCTGAGGAGCTGCGAAGCACCAGTTCTGCTCACCTTCCTTCTTGGGCTTCTAAATGATCAGGCTCTGAAGTCAAAGATCTCCGGGATTATGTCCAACAGACTTTACGTCCGTTAGCCAACAAAGGTAACATTTTTATCCAATATCCCTTTTAACTCCCCCCAAGATGCCAAAGGTGGCACTTTAATTATAGAATCGCTGCTGTGTAGGTTAACAATGCAAAATCAATCCCTAGAACCAGAGTTCTAAATAATCCCTTAGGCCAGCGGTTCTCAACCTGTGGGTCGGGACCCCATTTGGGGTCGAACGACCATTTCACGGGGGTCGCCAAACAACGCAGTCCGCCATTTTTTTCCCCCTTTTCCTTAGCTGTGCTACTCCCTTTTATTCTATTGGCTTTTGAAAGCCAATAGAATAGACTCTCTTGAATAGAGTCTAATTCTATTGGCTTTCAAAAGCCAATAGGAATTGTCCAGGCTGTCTCTGCCCTGCTGAGCCCGCCAAAAGTCCCATTCTGCAAACGGTGCTGCACCAGTCGAGTAGTCCTCGACTTACGACCGGTTGGGGGTCGCAGCATTAAAAAGGTTGAGAACCACTGCCTTAGGCTATATATAATGTTTATCGAAATCTGTATTTAAGGTAGCTCTTTGCAGACCCGGTGGGAAAATTTTTCATATAATACTGCTGATATGTAACATATCATAACGCATACACAATGATTTTTTTAAGCACATTGCAGACCTGTGCAAAGTATCTCCTGTTTGAAGTATCTGAAGCTTAAAACCAACTGTTCTGAGCTTACAATGTGCAAACTTTACGAAAGCATTCTAATCTTGAAATGCTCTTTAAATATTCCTGACTTCAAGCAGTGAAATATTTCAAGGGAAACAAGAAAAAGTCCGTTTCGAAAGAGCTAGATGGAATCTGAAATTATTTTCACAGTAAGAGTCTGCTATGTTGAATTTATAATGTTTTAATAGAATTGAATTCTGAAATGGATTTAGTTAAAGATTGTATGATAAAATGGGCTCAAAATATTCAAGAACCGATTTTATTGGATATATGGGAGGTAATTTGGGTTAGAAATATAAAATTTACTCAGGCTCAAAATTTAAGAGAAAATTTTTATAAATTTTATAGGTGGCATTTGGATCCCAAAAAGCTGTCTTATATGTATCCCAATTTACAGCCCAAATGTTGGAGATGTGGTAGCTTGGATGCAACCTATTTTCATATTTGGTGGACTTGTAGAAATATAAAAGCTTTTTGAATTAAGATTTGGTGGAACATTCAAAAGATTTTTAAAAGAAAAATAAAGTTCACGCCACAACTATTTTTGTTGGGGGTTATTGTAGATTGTGATGCTAAAGAAACGATTTTGATGTTGAATTTTATAACAGCTGCAAGGTTATTAGTAGGGCAATATTGGAAGAAAGATTCTTTGCCTACTATAGAAGATTGGACGCTTAAGGTGTCAAATTTAGCAGAAATGGCAGAAATTTCTGCTTACTTGAAGGATCATTCACAGGAAAGATTTATTTCGGTTTGAAGAAGATGGTTAGATTATATTCAGAATAAATATGGGACTAAAAAGTTTCATTTAGCTTATGAGTAAACTTTAGAGTATTATTATGGTTTAACAATATTGATTTGTTTATATTATTATTTTTAATTTGTTTATATTTGTTATAAGGGAGTTAAAGTGCATTATGGATTTGGTTATTTGTATAGTTGGGCAATGTTTTTTGTTTAGAATTTGATTGTTTATTTGTAACCCTGTATTCAGCTCTGGGAAGTGGGGTAAGGGGGGGTAGGGGTGGGTGGGTCTTGGGATATATATTGTATAAAACTTTTCAATAAAAAAAAAGAGTCTGCTATGTTGGCCATCTCAGTCTCCTTTAATCCACATATCTTGTCAGGAAAACTGGTGTAATAGATGAAAGACGGTGAGAGATTCTTCACATGCACACTGTGGAATGCCCTATGCTAGCTGGGAAATTCTGGGAGTTAAAGTGCATCCATCTTAAAGTTGCCACGGTTGGGAAGCACTGCTATATGGAAAACGTAACCTCTGTTTCAGAACTGATTTCCCAAAGCCCATAGAACCCAACTAAAAGAACGTGCAAGGTAGCTGAGCTACTTCTATCCCAAGAAATCCTTCTAAAAGGCCAATGTTGCTAAGAAAATTCTGGAAAACAGAACCAACCTTTGGCTTTTAGGTGGTCACCCAGCCAGCTGAGGGAGCAAGACAAGCAGTCATTCTCACCTGTCGTGTTCTTTGTCCACAAGGTGGTATCTTGCTCTGAATGCTACCAGGTGAGCATAATAAGCTGGTGCAGGTATAGACACAGATCGTGTGCAGCGCACATAGGTGTGGCAGAGCTGGTAAGTTAGCAGCTGAAGTTCATCTGCAGTAAAACAATTGTCATCCCACAAGACATGATAGTGTGAGGGGCGGCTTGTACCCTAATAGAGAGAAAAAATTGACAGTCGTTCCAGTAGTTCAATTCATTAATTTTTGACATCGTCTTTTTATAACTATGTTTCTCAATCTCAGCAACTTTAAGATGAGTGGACTTCAACTCCCAAAATCCCCCAACCAGCAGAGTTGACATCCAGACATCTTAAAGTTGTAACTGTTTTTTAAATTTATTAGGACAGGCATGGCAATTAAATGACTCCAAGCCATCTAAGAAAGAGCTCTCGTGATATACTTTAGCTGCCCTGATACAGTCTGGGTCTCTTCTTATATGTTAGAACTTAAAAGAGGACCCAAAAACTATTTAAAGGTTTCCCCTGTCTGGTCATTTCTGACTTAAGAGGATGGTGTTCATCTCCATTTCTTAGTTGAAAGATGATAATGATAATGATGATGATAATAATAATGAGGAGGAGGAGGAGGAGAAGGAGGAGGAGGAGGAGGAGGAGGAGGAGGAGGAGGAGGAGGAGGAGGAGGAGGAGAAGAAGAAGAAGAAGAAGAAGAAGAAGAAGAAGAAGACGAAGAAGAAGAAGAAGAAGAAGAAGAAGAAGAAGAAGAAGAAGAAGAAGAAGAAGAAGAAGAAGAAGAAGAAGAAGAAGAAGAAGAAGAAGAAGAAGAAGAAGAAGAAGAAGAAGAAGAAGAAACAACAGCAGCAGCAGCAGCTTGGGTGCAATCCCAAAACAACTGGAGCACCACTTGAACACCATCAGCATTGACAAATTCATCATTAGTCAATTGCAAAAGGCGGCCTTACTAGGAACCGCTTCCATTCTGCGACGATATCTGTGATACCATCCAACATCCACATCTGCCTATCCCAGGTCCTTGGTAAGGACTTGATAGGTAGACAAAAATGCCAAATCCAGTCTGAACATCTGGCTGACTGTGCGATGATCCATAACAACAACAACAATAATAAAGTTGGAAGGGACCTTGGAGGGCATCTAGTTCAACCCCCTGCTCAGGCAGGAAATTTTATACCATTTTGGACAAAGGGCTGTCCAGCCTCTTCTTAAAAAATTCCAGTGTTGGAGCATTTACCGCTTCAATGTTGTCCGAAGACATTTCCGTGGTCATGTGTGCAGCATGACTATACGCCATGGAATGCTGTTCAAAAAGCTATTGGCCTCCCTAAGAAATATGGAAGAGTTTACTCTATCTGTGATTTCAGAATAACCATTTAAGTACAACTTAGACAACTGGATAGAGATAAACGTGTTAGGTTCAAGTGACTAGAGGGGTTGGTCCAGGAACCAAATGCTTCGTTTCTCACCTGTATTCCTGCATGGCTACAGAGATAAAAATCAAATTCGTATGGATGTGTGATATCCGTATCTACTGTTGTTCCAGCAGGGATGTTTCCGCTTCTTCCAACCTAGAATACAATTAAATTAAATTTTAAATTAAAAAGGTGTTTTAAAAAAAAACTGTGTATATTTCCCAATTCTGGAATTCTAATGCCTACATTGCAAAAATATCTTGAGAAGCATTATGCCTTCCATGTAGCAACTGTCAGTCAGTTTTTATGCACCTTTCATTAAAAAAAAGTGATCACTTGATTCAACTTTAAGCTGACTCCATGCTATTTATAAATTAATCATACAAACCAAAGAATGTCAGCTACATCCACAGGTATCTGAGCCAGCTTTAGCCAATACTAGTTTGCAATTTGGAGATCTGCAATCCAATGCAGGTTGAGGAAAGGCAACTGGAAGATGAGGGGCTAAAACCTTTTAACAGAACCCTAATCAGGACGCCTCAGTTAGGAATCTTACTCACGTCATTATTACAGGCTGGGATTTTTTCCCCCCAGGATATATGGTACCGTATTTTCCGGCGTATAAGTCGACCCGGCGTACAAGACGACCCCCGACTTCGGTGCCGAGTTGCATGCCTAGAATGTCGTCTTATACGCCGGAAACTACCGTAATTTCTGGCGTATAAGACGACCCAACTTCGGCGCCGATTTCAACGCTTTAGAAAGTCATCTTATACGTCGGAAAATACGGTAACAGCAATGATCTAGTTCAAAGAACTGTTTGCAAGAATGGCAACTAGTATGAAATGCTGCAAAGATTCTACCACTCTTATTATCTGTATTAAGAATGACGACTACAATTGTTGTTTGGGAAAAAAGCTGCTGGGAAATGGGATAAGCCTTACCCTTTCTGTCCTATCAGCGCAAAACAGCCTCGTATGATGCCTCTTCTGAACCACAATGTACGTTATGCCAGGCTGATAGTCTTTTTCCAAGCTGATACAAGCCTCTCTAATTGCCAGCAGCTCATAATACAACACCTACAGAGGAGGAAGAAAAGGCTTGGCTTACTTGAATGGAGATAAGCATGGAAAGAGAAGTCAGAGTTCTGTTTTGACAAACACACACACACACACACAATATTTATACTTGTTCCACCTCAACACAATTCCGTGGCACTGTTTTTCAAGCTGGGCAACTTTAGGATGGGTGGGCTTCAACACCCATCTTAAAAGTTGCCAAGCTTGAAAAACACTGCACTAGGCAATAGAAAGAATAGAGTAGGACTAAGCTGTCTGTATGATAAACGTTTCTGTATGTTATCATTTCTACATGTTTATCCCACCCTTTTCCCCCCCATGAGCAAAGGGCATACATCAGTGATGGCGAATCTTTTAGAGACTGAGTGCCCAAACTGCAACCCAAGACCCACTTATGCATCGTTGGGTGCCGGGTGGGTGTGGCCCACTGGCTGCGTGTGGCCCATTGGGTGGGTGTGGCTATGGTGGTAACGGCAGACTGGGTGGGACTAAACAGTTCAATCAATCAATTCCAACTTTGCAAGATTTTTTTTCCCCGCAAGAAGTTGAAATTGACTGATTGATTGAACCTTTTTTTTTTTTTTTTTGCACACAGCGGCGGAGGCCTAAAGCGAAAAGGTTTTATAAAACCCAGCTGAAGGCCTAGGACTGGGGCGACAGTGCGTGCCCACAGGGAGGGCTCTGAGTGCCACCTCTGGCACCCGTGCCATAGATTCGCCACCACTGGCATACATGGTCTCCATTCATCCCTGTGAAGTAAGTTGGGTTAAAGGATAGTGGCAGATCTGAAGCCACCCAGCAAAATTCATGCTCAAGTAGGTCTTGAACCCTGGTCTCCCTGAACTCAATCCAAAGATTTGCAGTAAACCAAATGGCAAATGGGTTCAAAAGGAAGTTCCTAAAGCTGGGGGCATGGAAAGTGATCAATGATCAATGGAAGAACCAGCCTTATTCCACAAGGGCGAGGGTAGGCAACCTCGGCGCTTTTATGACTCATGGACTTCAACTCCCAGAATTCCTGAGTCAGCTAGGAGTTGAAGTCATCAGGAGTTGAAGTCCATGAGTCATAAAAGCGCCGAGGTTGCCTACCCCTGCACAAGGGCCATAGTGGATTACACAGGAATCGTTCAAGCAACGCCCTTGTTGACAGATTTTAAAGTCTTCTTGTGGCAATGATGCTGACAATATGTTTACTCTGTTATTTGGTCATCAACAGTAAGGGCCTTCATAAATGTTTAAAAGCTCATTATGATTTTTTTTTCTGGTGGTGAACGCAAGACTTAAGTTCCTTGGCACTCTCCCCTTGAAGAAGTGTTTGAATTTTATTGTTAGTTGGTTTGAAATACCCCGCCAACTACGCAGGACGCAAGTGTGATATAAATGGATATGAAGACCTGTCGAAACTGTCCTTCTGAAACTCCATCACGGTAGAAGATGATTCGTGTGGGTTTGAACCGGGTTGATTTGTAGAATTGGATGAGAAGTTCTCTAACCATGGAGGCCAAGTCTTGGATGATCTCCTGGCGGGGTTTCTGGACTCTCACCGTAGCACAGTACCTGCTTGGATGTGCATCCATGCTACCTACAACCTAACAGCGAAAAAGGGATATGTGAAAATAAATGAGGATTCCATAGGGGGCATGTTTCAAATGTCCTTTCTTTAATACCAACTGTTCTATGGCTGCTTCGTTAATTTAAGTATATAATATTTTATATGGCTGTTGCTTACACTTGTCAACTGAATTGGGTTTTTTTAGAATGTTCTGTTAGGTTTTGAACTGATCTTCTTTTATAATTAGCATACACTCCCGCACAAGTTTATCATTGCAACAATGTGAAAGACATAGGATTAAGACACAGGAACTGGCTCAAGTCAATAAGTGAGCTTTTAAGGCTCAGAATGAGCTTGAATCTGGGACTTTCCTGTCTTAATCTAGCATCCTATATGTTTTATTTTCAAAACAGAGTATTTTTTATTTATCTAAATACTTATCTATCAGAATTATTTGGGGGGAGAAGAATTACACACCTACCACATGCTTTATCATCAGATAACAAATGCCTGCCTATTTTGGTATATTTCTTCTCTCCCTTAATAAGATAAATGGACAGCAAAGTTAACTGCAGTGATTCACAGAATCCAGGTGTGTAGAAGCTACAAGTAACCCTCAAAAATCATTCACCTTTGCCAGAGACAGTTTTAAATCTGCACACAATGAAAAATTAAGCAGAAAGAATGGCTGACAAGCCCATGAGACACAAAGAAGTGATTTAGAGCAATCAAACCACAAAACAGAATTCATTCTGTCTGAATCCAAGTTCCTCAGATTTCTCATTCACATTCTTTGGGGAGGGGGGAGGAAGAAAGAGGGAGAGAGAACTATATATATATAAAAACATAGCTTACAGCAGCAATAGAAGGCTTCTTTCCATCCCCAGCAGGTGGATGAGTAACATCTGCTCCCAAGAAGATCACTGGTTGTTGAAACACAGAAGGTCTTTTAAAAAAAGGGACAAACCAACCACAGGATTAATATCTAAGCGATGGACAGCAGGCCCTGGGTTACATGCACCTCACAATCGAAAGGAAAAAAAAAGGCAGATGCTTCTGGTGTGTAGCCAGGAACGTAACAAATCTCACGGCTAACTATTGCATATTACAGAATTTAGTTTCTTTGGAAAAAAACACACACACACACTTAAATTTACATGTGAAACAAAGAACATAATCTACCATTCTAGAGAATGCCCCTTGTGCAGGGGTAGGCAACCTTGGCTCTTTTATGACTCGTGGACTTCAACTCCCAGAATTCATGAGCCAGCATGAATTCTGGGAGTTGAAGTCCACGAGTCATAAAAGAGCCAAGGTTGCCTACCCCTGCGCCTTGTGCTAAAGTAAACACCAGTGACCAGTATTCATTCCTTGTCTGAATGTGCATCTTCTCAGATTTGCAATCAGAATTTATAGCAGCATGCAGGCAGTTCTCTACTTACGAACGGTTGCTTAGCAATCGTTCAAAGATATAACGGACCCTCCAGGGTATTGACGACCTGGTTCCGAAGTTTCGATGGCCATCGCTGACCTCATGATCGTGTGACCATCAGGCACTCAGCAACTGGTCTGCATTTACAACCATTTGCAGCATCCCACAGTCACATAACTGTGTTTTATGGTGCTTTTGCCTGAAAACCGGCATTTACTCCCAGTTTTCGACTAAAACACCCCATAATGAACAATGGGCTCATTTTACGATCATCGTGCTTGCTTTAAGATCACCATATTCATTTAACAACCACCTCAAAAATGGTCGAAAAATTAGATTGGTCACTCGAGTGACCCGTTCTACAACCATCACAACCTAATGGGCAAACTCTGTTATGGGCATAAATTAAGGACTACCTGTACCATTTTAAAAATTCCTACTTGATCATCAAAAAACACTTCAAAGCAGCCAACATGATTTTGATTACTAAAGTAATCAAGAGTCACAGCGGTGTTCATTGCATGCATAAAAATTTGTATGCTTGCCACATCAAAACATGGCAATTCAAATTCCAAGACACATTAAGAAAGGATTCTTACCGTTGATGAGGTACAAGGATGTTGTTGATTCCTCCCAATTTTACATTAATCTTTAGGCACAAGTTTGAGAGGGTCTGAGGAGACGTTTTTATGACATTCTTGACTTGAACACATTGTGTAGCCATCCCCAGAAGTGTGTCCCCCACACGTTTCACCTCCGCTAAAAAAAATAAGTATTAATGTGAAGAATCTAAGGAATGATTCCAAAATCTAACGTTGCAGTGCTGTACCTGCTTACTGAAAATCATGCCCAGTCAGCATTAACCTTTCCCAGCTGATGTCCTCCAGATGGGCTGAATCATAGTCTATATTATCTTCCTTTCAATCATTAAACAAACAAACATATTTGGGGGACAGTTTGTTGGGAAAGGTCTTGATCTAAAATCAGGAGTGTCTAACCTTGGCAATTTTAAGATCTGTGAACTTTAACTCCCAGAGTTCCCCATTCCCTAGCCTGGCTAGGGAATTCTGGGAGTTGAAGTTCACAAATCTTAAAGCTGCCATGGTTGGACACCCCCGATCTAAATGAAAAAGCAGACCAAGGCTCTCAGTTGAACCATTTAAATAGCATGATCCCTTTCTGAAAAACAAAAGAAAAAAGTCCAAATAATCTCGAAACAAAAATGGTGGGGAGGGAAGCCTAGTCAAGTTCTGCCTCTACTGCTATGCATTTTGTCAGGATTAATCTTTCTTAAGAGGTTTTGAGGAGTAAGATGAAACAAAATCAAGGAAGGTTAGTTTAATGAGGAGATCAATAGCAGAAGAAAATTCCCAACCAGTCCCCCCTCTAGCCCTCATAAAAATATTCAAAGCTCTCAAAGTCAGAAGTCTTCAGAAGATAAAACAAAGTCCTGAAAACACAGGCTACTTTCAAATATTTATTCCTGTTGTTGCTTTTTCCTTGCTATTATCATTTATCCACACAATATTCAGGAAACATTACCAATTATTATCCGAGAAAGCTTTAACATTTGTATAAGACAGCAGAAATGGATGATGCAAAGAACAAAATATAGTAGAAAGCTTTACTTTACCCCACATGGTGCAAAGTCTTTCCCACAGAAGTATCTTCCAAACAAGTGGTTTATTTCACTGACCTTCTGAAAGTTTTTACCCCAAAGCCTATTCTCTTCTCAGTTCCCATAATGTAACAAGAATCATGAAAAGCTTGCGTTTCCATTGTTACCCTGATTTGCTGTGCCCTCAACCCTAGCTTCTTACAGAATCTACTCTTCTAAGATCATTTACTTTTGTTCCCAAGTCTTCTCAAGGCAAATTTAAAACAGGCAGAACTCGTGCAAAACGTTTGGATATTTGTTTACCATAGACTGGTGTCTTCCCCGGCAGAATGACGATGATGAGCTGGAGTCCTGAATATGTGTTTTTCAGATGTCGGAACATGGGCTCCACACTGTCAGCACCTTGTGCGTATTTACAGAAGCAAGGCTGGCCCTGGATTGGCATCCCCGCATCCTTGGAGATTTTGCGCAGCTGATCTGTAAAACCCCTGGGGACAAATAAACACTGGATGACAGGAGTATACTAGCATCAACATACACAGAGGTCATTCATAGTTGTTCCCCTTTTCTCTAAAAGTGAGGGTCAATGGGTCACTTATTTAGTGTACAGAGAGTGATAACCAGAGCTGAAGGCTATTATCATTATTAATGAGAATGAATTTCAGCAAGTTCTGCAATTAACAGAGGGATAGAATTAAGATCAGGTGAAGTATTTATACCACCTTACAATGCCTTGGTAAGGCCACACTTGGAATACTGCATCCAGTTTTGATCAGCACGGTGTGAAAAAGATGTTGAGACTCTAGAAAGAGTACGGAGAAGGGCAACAAAGATGATTAGGGGACTGGAGGCTAAAATATATAAGGAATGGCTGCTGGAATTGGGTATGTCTAGTCTAACAAAGAGAAGGATGAGGGGGGACATGATAGCAGTGTTCTAGTATCTCAGGGGCTGCCCCAAAGAAGAGGGTGTCAAGCTATTCTCCAAAGCGCCTGAAGGTAGGATGAGAAGCAACGGATGGAAACTAATCAAGGAGAGAAGCAACCTAGAACTAAGGAGAAACTTCCTGACAGTGAGAACAATTAACCAGTGGAACAACCTGCCTCCAGAAGCAGTGAATGCTCCAACACTGGAAGTTTTTAAGAAGAGACTGGACAGCCATTTGTCCCAAATGGTATAGGGTTTCCTGCCTGAGCAGGGGGTTGGACTCGATGACGTCCAAGGTCCCTTCCAACTTTATGATGATGATTATGTTGATGATGATGATGATTAAGTTTTGAAGCCAAAGATGATAATCACAGGCGAGTATTAACCACTCAATGTACTTTTGAATAACAAGAATAATATTACTTATAATTATATAATAATATTCCATTCAGTTTTTGTATTAGAGTCCAAAATGAGAGTTGAAATTATTAAGAAGGAAAATGTAGTCAGATGATATGGTTTAGGAACCTGAAATGAAGGAGGAGATTGATATCAATTTCTCCAACTCCAATGATTGCTTCACAGCTAACACTATTTTCAAAACAACCAAAATGGTATCTGTATACATGGACATCATCAATTGGAGAACACAGAAATCAAATCGACTATATTATTGCTAAAAAGAGGTGGAGGAGCTCAGTTATAGGATCAAAGATATGGCCGAGTACTAGCTATGGAACAGATCATGAACTGCTCATGGTCAAGTTCCAAATTAAGCTAAAGAAGAAGAAAATCAACTAGTTAACTCAATGGGATTTTGAGCACATACCCACCATTTTCAAGGAGGACGCTTTGGATTCCCAAACCTCATCGACAGAAAACCAGATAAACTGAGGAATGAACTGAAGGAAATTGTTATGAACGAAATGTGAAAAGAGATTGCCAAAGATGGAGAAACAGAAGTCAGCAAACTGAATGTCAGAACGAACTGCAGAAATTGCCAGGAAGAAAAGCCAGGCCAGAAAGATTAAAAATTCGGGGGGGGGGGGGAGAGAAAAAACTTAGCAAAAAGTTTTAGAGAGCTGTTAAAAAGATGAGAAGCAATATTATAACATCTGTAAAAACACTGAAAATGGAAACAGACTTGGAAAAACAAGGAAAGACTTCCAAAATGTCTCTGAAATCAAAAAGAGATTCCAGACCTTAAATGGATACGCTGAAGGAGTTAGAAGGAATATACTGAAATTATGAACAGGAAACGTGTCAACATTCAAGATAAGATAGAAGATGTTTCCTATTTACAAGTACCTCCAGTACTAGAAGCTTCTAACCAAGCTATGCCAGTAAATCTGGAGACTAAAAATGGCCAATTTACATTCCAAGACCAAAACAGAGAGTCTTAATAGACTGTGCAAACTATTGTACAATTTCCTTCATTGCACAGAATAGCAAAACAACGCTTAGGATCATCCAATGCCGATTAGAGGCCTAAACACACACACACACACACACACACACACACACACACACACACACAGAGTGATATCAGATGTTCAAGTCATTTTAGAAAAAGCAAAAGAACATGAGACACTTCTGATGCATAGTGGATAATTGAGAAAGCCAATTAAAACAACAAGAAGTCAGAATGTACTTCATTCATGATAGAAAAACCTTTGGTTTTATTAGTCACGTCAAGCTGTGGAACGTGCTTAGAAAAATGGGAGTCCTAGAATATCTCATTGTCCTTATGCAAAACCTATATATGGTTCAAGAATCCGCAGTATAGATTGCACTTGGCGAAACAGACTAGCTGCAGGTTGGCAAAGGAGTGAGATGCAGGGCTGTATACGTTCCCCTTATTTATTCAACCTGCAGTATATGCTGAATAAATATATGTTAAGGGAAACTGGATAGGAAGAGGATGACCGTGGTTCAAAAACTGTATAAAGAAACACCAATAACTTGCACTATGTTGATGTGACTACTCTGGTAGACAAAAATACAAAAAAAAAAAGATCTAGTCATAAAAGTAAAGGAGCACAATAAAAGAAATGGAAGTAAAATTACATATTTATTTTTTATTTATGAGACTTATATACCGCTTTAAGTGCAAGCACTCTCTAAGCGGTGTACACCAGTAAGCAATGTATATATATACATTGGCATTACTTGTTCTCTTACTTTGAACACAATACATCTCTGGAAAAGACTCTGGGAAATATATATATATTTACATTGCCCCCAACAATCTGGGTCCTCATTTTACCTACCTCGGAAGGATGGAAGGCTGAGTCAACCTTGAGCCGGTGAGATTTGAACCACTGACCTGCTGAACACAGTCAGCTACAAGCAGCCAAAGAATTGGCAATAAAGATTACTGAAGTGAATGACAGTTTCTGCCATTTGGGAGCAGCCATCAACAGTATAGGAACAAAACAAAAAAAAAATCAAGAAATATGCCACAGACTAGCATTTGACAGAGTATCAAAGAAAACTAGAAATACCATTGACTCTTTTGAATGCTAGTGCTGAAGATTCCTGAGAATATCATGGTCAGCCAAGAAAACAAACTGATGGTTCATCAAATAAATCAGAGTTCTTTCTTGAACTCAAAGACTAGGCCCCAATTCTCTTACTTTGAACACAATACATCTCTGGAAAAGACTCTGGGAAAGGTGGAAGGAAGCAGAAAAGGATGAGCACCAGCAAAGTGAATAGACCCAGTTACAGCACAATGAATGCACCGTTGGAAGAGCTGAAAGATCAGGTTAGGCAGTGGCCCCCAATCTTTTTGGCATCAGGGACCAGTTCAGTGGAGAGAGGTTTTTCTGCAGGCTGGAGGGGGCCTGGTTTTGCATACTGCCTGTATCCCGTGGATGGAGCTTGGCTTGTTTGTGCAGCCCTGTTTCTGGCACGCTGCAGCCTGGTGCCGGTCCATGGACCAGTGTTTGGGGACCCCTGAGGTTAGGGACAGATCATTGTAGAAAAAATCTATATATGTGGTTGCTAGAAATCAACCACAACTTAATGCCACATAATCAACCATGTTTCTTTGAACAGCAAAGTATTTTCAGAGATCAAGGATAATCCAAAAAGCAGAGAATCTGTAATGTAGCCATGGTATCAAAATTCATCAATTTAAGGCCTACTACGGGAAGCAACTCATAGCTTGAACAATAGACTTACTTTAGTATTTCTTCGCGACACTGCCTCTGTGTTGCAAAGCAAGCAATGGCCCACATCTTGATTTCCACACCTGTATGAAACTGTTTCCCACGCATATCCCATACACCATGGCTTGGTGTTGCCACTGTTCGATTCTAAAGAAATAAAACAGAAGTATTAGTGTACTTGCAGTTTACACAATGAGCACTAGATGCGTAAACTTAGACAGGGACTAGAGCAGGGGTAGGCCACCTTGGCTCTTTTATGACTCGTGGACTTCAACTCCCAGAATTCCTGAGCCAGCCAGGAATTCTGGGAGTTGAAGTTCACGAGTCATAAAAGAGCCACGGTTGCCTACCCTTGGACTAGAGCAGTGGTTCTCAACCTGTGGGTCGGGACCCCATTTGGGGTCGAACGACCATTTCACAGGGGTCGCCAAACAATGCAGTCCGCCATTTTTTCCCCCTTTTCCTTAGCTGGGCTACTCCCTTTTCTTCTACTGGCTTTCGAAAGCCAATAGAATAGACTCTCTTGAATAGAGTCTAATTCTATTGGCTTTCAAAAGCCAACAGGAATTGTCCAGGCTGTCTCTGCCCTGCTGAGCCCGCCAAAAGTCCCATTCTGCAAACGGTGGTGCATCAGTTGAGTAGTCCTCGACTTACGACCGGTTGAGTAGTCCTCGACTTACGACCGGTTGAGTAGTCCTCGACTTACGACCGGTTGGGGGGGGGTCACGGCATTAAAAAGGTTGAGAACCACTGGACTAGAGAAATGAAATAAAAAAACCAAGACAGTCCAAAGCTACCAATCCAATTATATGAGAATAAATCCAGAGAAGAATTTATTACCCGCCCTCCATATTGCAACATCGGAGCTGGGAGCACTCTCCCTGTCACATGAGCCATCTCGTCACGCACTTTAAACTGAAATTCCTGAACAAATGGGTCAGCGTCATAATTTGCACTTCGCACCTGAAACAAAGAGGAGAGAAAGAGGGGGCAACAGTTAAGTGATGATATAACTCTACAGTAGCTGACTTCAGTACTTGTACAATAATAAACTGATATGATTAAAAAAGAGAGGAGACATTTGGGATGTGAGGAGACAAATGGGGACAAGCACACTGGATCCTCGATGACCCCTCTAGCTGGCTTTATCTATTTTTCTAATTCAAAGGCAAACTGACCAATCTGCTGATTTCTTCTTGTCTGTCAGGTGCAGATCTGGCTGTTGCTTTTATCATCGTTGATGTTTGATTGTCTGTAAGCTTCTTAATACATCGCTGGCCTGCCACGATGTTACAAACCTGCAAAAATATTACACATTAATCTTACGATAACCAGTGAGCAAACGATGGAGCTGTACAAATTGTGAATAGCATGTAATATGTTTCTTATATACCAGGGGAAACGCCACGTCCACCAAAATAACCTGCTATAATAATGCTGTCCAATGGCACACAAAACTGGTTGAGGGATATATTAACACTGGACTTAAGAGTTGAAACCTGAACTCTTCTTGTTGGGAATAACGACAGAAAAATACGACAAGGGAACAATCTACCTGCTGCTACACATCCTGACTGCAGCTAGGCTTGCTTTTGCGCAAAAATGGAAGAGCAAAGAAATTCCCACAGAGGAAGAGTTAATACATAAAATATTAGCATGTGTGGAAATGGACAGGCTCACAATGATATTAAAAGACAAATGTGGATCAGTTTATTATGAAACCTGGGATAAATTTTACCGCTGGAGGAATTTGAAGAGGACGGTTGGGATTAAAGACGAATGTTAAGATAGAAATATATGTTATTTTAGAACAAGTATTGTATATAAAATTTAGACGTATATGTAGAGAGGAAGAATTGATTGTAAAAAGTGGAATAATCTGATAAGAATTATATATTGGAATGTCACATTAAATCCAATGTCTGTTTTTAACTGTATTATAAATAAAATTTGTAAATAATAATAACAATAATAATAATAACAACAACAACAATAATAATGCTGTCCAATGGCATCCTGCGTATGTATGCTTCACGACCAGAATTTCCCAGGTAATATGAAGACTTTGACTGAGAAGTTTAGGAACCGAAGGGCACCCAAGTTTGAGAAGCATGTTCTACGTACGTTAATAATACAATTGTGAATTGTTAATAATACTTTTGTGAATTGGCTGGATAGTATTGCTTAACTGATTAAGTGCCATCAGGCCTGGATCAATCCTTAACAACCATATAGATTTCCTCCAGTTTGATTAATCCCTAGCTTGGTCTTTCAGGTCTTTAAGTGGTGAGATACTACTATACTTAAAAAAAACCCTGAAAGAATAGAATAGAATCTTTATTGTCATTGTGTAACTCATGACGAAATTAAGTAATCAAGCTTCTACAGCCAGTGTTTTTTAACTTGACACTGGGCCCAAAGAATAGCGACTCCTTACAAATCTAACAAATACATTAGAACCTAAAGTTTCATGAGCAAAGACTGCTTTAGACTCATGGTTATCTTTACTTCACAGGAAAGCTCACATATACAGAATGTATGCATTGTGTAAAAAAAATTAACATTTTCAAATCTGCAAATGAAAGATTCTGGGGTCTTCAAATGTTTGAGAGATTGTGATATCAAATACATTACTTCAAGAGGCAGATAGGTGTGTTTCTGCTCCTGTCCCACTTGTAGACAAGGAAGATGAGGATATTTCAGCTGTAGGTTGTACTTTTCTCTGAAATACTGTGCTACTGTTCTCTCCACCGTCTGACCGTTTTCTAACTGCAATGGAAATCTGAAAAGCGGAAATGGAAATAATAGTTAATTTGCACGAGTCTGTGGATCCATGGATCTTTTTCCTCCCATAGTATATGCAGATAGTCCTTGAACTACAACTGTACATTTAATGATGGATCGAAGTTACAACAGCCTTGGAAAAAGTGACTTCAGGTACGACCCATTCTCAACATTAAGACTGTAGCACCACCACTAGAGTCACACGATCACAATCTGGGTGTTTTGCAATTGGCTAACATTTACAATAGTTGCGGCATCTTGCAGTCAGGTGATCGTGATGTCACCTTCCCAGCCAGCTTTTGACGAGTGAAATCAATGAACGACCACGTGATTTGCTTAATGCCCACAAAGATTCACTTAAGGACCATGGTAAAAATGGTTGCAAAATTGGATCTAGCCACAAGCATTTGCTTAACATTGTCTAGCAACCAAAATCCTGGTCCCAGTTGGGGTTATAAATCAAGAACGACCTGTATATTATATTGTAGCCACGTATGTTAACTGTGTAGTTTAGCCAGGCACTTACGTCTGATGACTAGCAGGTCTCCGTGTAACATTACAGACGCGGTATTTCCGCCTCATCGTTCCACAATGAGTCACTTCAACCTTCAGACCTGGATGAAGAGAGAGAAAATACTGACGTCAGAGAATGCTTGTACAGACACAAGATGTTTTGTAACAGAACTTATTCATCCCTTGCATAAGATTTGCTATAATTTCTACATATGCCACTGAAGAAAGAAGAATGGTTAGACATTCTTAATATAATCCCACAGATTTGTGGCCCCTAAACCTTCCCACAAAACAGGACTAGGCGATATTTTACAATGGTGTTTTGTTTGCTTTTTTAAAATTTCCCTTTTGTATATTTTTTCAGCCCCAAGCGCTGATGTCACCAAAATGAAACAGAATGATGGTTCTTCTTCTTTTCTCTCAGTTTTATGGGATTGCTATGTTACTGCTGTAATGACTGACGTATTAATCAGAAGGATTAACCCACTATTGTTACTCTTATTAGAAATAAAAAACTGCCACTAATTGGTGGTTTCTACTAAATTTTAATGGCCCAATTTTGGAGGGCCCCAGGGTTTACAAAAAAGGGGGGGACCATTAGCCTGATCAATAGCAAATTAAATGTATCTTTTCTAAGCATGCCAAATCCAAAAACTAATGAATGTTAATAAGCTTGAATTTTTCCAAAAGCTGGCCCGGTTAAAGGCTCTGATATCTAGGAAAACCCAGTGGATTATGAAGACAAGTTGGTTTTGATGTCAGCAGATGGCATTTTCTTTCTCCCACCACAAAGAACACGGACAGCACCTGAAGGCATTTTTTTCCTGTTAATGCTGCTTGCCATATCTGGGAAAATAAAGCTCTAAAAACCCAAAAATATCAAGACAAACACAGGCATCCTGTTATCTCCTTTATGCAAGGAATACAACTTTTGGGAGATAACCATGTTTCACTAAGAGGTGTCTTTTTTCCAATTCCAGTAGTATCAAAACCTTTTTGTGGACATTCATTTACTTTTTGATTAAAATGAGTATGAGCGAGTGAATGCATCGCAGAGAACAATGACTTCCTTCCTTCTCAAAAGTCTGTTCATTTCCAGGGTGGAAGGAAGCCATAGCCTGTGAATGCTAAAAGGAAATGAAACAGCAAATACGATCCAAATCAAAGAATCCATATTTATCTTTCCTCTTCTCCTAGAGCAGAATTGGCCCAGACAGCATCCACACCAGCCAACTGGACACATATCTTTAAAATGGCTACACTTTTTGCAAGATTTCAAGTAAGAAGATGCAAGACCTTGGAAAGGGGGGGGGGTGCATTATCCAAAATATAACATTTTTCTGGATTTGCAACATTTGGGGCCTTTTATTTCTTTTTTTTTTCATCCCTCTTCATGCAAGATTACACGGTGGCACACTGCCCAGGAAAAACACTGCTGATGCTTGCCATAAAGGAACTACAGCTGCTAGTCTGAATGCCACTGTGCAGCACTGATAATTGGAACTGAAATGGAGGCTTATCAGCAAACCTGCTTTGTCTGAAGCAGTGACAAGTATCAAAAGAGCATGTCTCACTTTACCGTCTCAGGATAAAGGCTAATACTTTTCACTACTGCTAATTTAAAATATGCACATGCATCCTTTGATTTAAAATAGCCAAAGTAGCTTCAGGTCCACACAAAACATATCCTCACAAGGGATGTTTTTCTTCCAATTCCAATACGGCAATATTTTCATTTATTTATTGGTACTTCTCGCCTTTTGTCCAGGAGCTCAAGATGGCATACATAATACTCCCACTCCCCATTTTTTTTTTCACAACAATCTGCAATAAAGTTGGTTGGCCTGAGAGGAATAACTTCGCCAGAGTCATCCAGTGTGCTTCCATGGCTGATATGGGATCTGACTCTGGATCCCAGAACTCAAGGTAATCCTCAAGTTACGATCGTAACTAAGCCTGGCAATTACAGTTCTAAGTCAGGATGGTTGTAAAGCCGGTTATCACATGACCAATTTGATTCTGACCAACTTTTTTCTGCGATGGTTGTTAAGAGAACCTGGCAGTTGTTAAACAAACCCACTGTTCACTATGGGTTGGGCCAAAAAGTAGAAGTAAATGCTTGTTTCTGGCAAAAACGTCATAAATGGTGATCCTATGACCATGGGATGCTGCAAACGGCCATAAATGTGGGCCAGCTGCCAAATGCCCAAAATACAGTCACGTGACCCCAGAAGGAGTGTGTCATGCCTCTGTTGGAGCCTGCGGAGGAAAATGAGCTGGAACTGACCAATGGAGGTCAAGGGAGAGGGGTCTATGGCTTCAGAGGAACGTGGGGAAGAGCAGGCCGGGGCAGGCCAGGGCCCTCCAGAATTGGGGCAGGAGGAACAGGAGAGGCAGAGTTCAGGCGATGAGCAAGGGCCACCCCCCACCCAATCCTAGAGCAAAGAGAGTGGAGCGAAGGAGGGAACAACGTAAGCAGGCTCAACTACTAAGGAGGAGAGCATCCCGCCCCTCTCCGCAAGGCACACCTGGAGACTGAGATTTAAGGAGACGTTGTGGGGAGAGGCATTTGTCAGGAACAAATGCTGATTCCTTGGAGTTTGGTGTGTGTTGTTGCTGATCTCTTGTTCAGTGACTTCTACTTGGAAACCCAGAAATTCTGACCATTGGACTGGCTGACAACATTGCTTGGATGTTCAAAGATCTCGGACTGTATTTTGGCTTCCCTTTTGAAACCGCGTGTATTCACAGACTCCTTAGGTTTATGATGTATGTGTCATTCCTTGTTATCTCCGTGGCCTTGAGTAAAATCCTCTCCTACTCAGACTGTATGTGAAACTACTTGCAGCCAGAGGCGGCTGAAGGGGTGTGTGTCTTCCTTTGTTTGGAGGCTTGTCAGAAATGTGGGAGCATTTGGGGAAAATTTGAAGCAATTAAAGGGCAGTTTGAATTGCCAGCTGACTGCACTGCCTCTGTGCTGTGCCCTGGGTCATCACAGGGTGGCGCTGGAGTTGTGGAACTATTAAGAGATCAGTTGTAAGTTGAGGACTACTATATATCATGCAAGACAATGTTTTGATAGCTGGCTGAAGTAAGTAGCAAATGAAACAGAGTAGAAATATCTCAAAACAGTACTACTTGAACATAACTATATTCTGGATGCTCCCTATGTCTTACACTGGGTGCATTTGTAATGTGACTGTTTGGCTAGCATATAACCAGCCTAGTTTTGTCAGGAAGCTGCACTACGGCAGCTGAAAGAATACAGTAGTAAAAGCCAATCAGAGATGATCCACAGTGTGGCTAGAAGGCAAGAGATAAAGACATAGCACACAATTCTGGCAATGGGGCCTTCCTGGCCATGCAGACTGAAATCTCTACAGTCCAGGCAGCTGGAAAAAATCCTTTGTTTACTGGGAGATGATACATTTTCAAGAATGCAAATTCATTGCCCATCACCCAGATGCCATGCTAATAACTCACTGTGTGGCACCAAGGATAATGTCCCATTATATGCTTTGATTAATGTGGAGGTCTGAGATCTAAGCAAGCACCTCCTAAAGCAATAAGATTAGCGCGGTGTGGATGCGTGCTACATTTTATTATTTTTTTTACTCACCCTTTATCTCTTTGGTGAATTTTACACGGTGAGAATCAGTCAGAGGTCGTGGCTGTTCATCAATGTTGTGGATATCAAGAACTTCACACATGAACTGAATTACAGGTTGTGCTTTGTAGAAGGCAGTGGCAGAAACTAGGGGGGAAAAAATTAAGGAAATAAATGGTCTTCAAAGTTGTCATACAATCTCTTATCTAAGATAAAGGATCTCATCAACTGGAGGGCTTACATTTCATCCCAGGGATTCTTTAGAAGCAGTCTAACGCCTTTTCTGATTAACGCATTTTATTAAAAGTGAGTTGCAGTTCACGAAAGCTCCTTCCTTTTAATAAAAACCTGTTAGTCAAGAATGGTGCTATCAGACTCTTTCTGACAGACTAACACAGCTTTCCACTTACAATGCCCAGGAGTTCTTTGTTTCTCCTTTAATTTATTCTGATTCAAACGCTGGTATCGAGACAAGATGGGGTTGAAAACATGACATCAGATAGAGCAAATCTGGGAATTTTTTCATATGCTTGGCTGTGAGAGAATTATAAACAAGATGCATATGACACCTACACAGTTTCCTTCACTGACATAATCACCAAGTAGCAAACTTGACTTGTATCTTAAATTATGTCATGAAGAAATACTGACCTCTCTGCTACTAAGCAGATTCCTCATTCTCTTATCAACTCCAATATTTGACCGTACAACACTGCATTCTTTCCAGCTCCAGTTTTTGGACCAAAGCATTTTAACATACAGGTAGTCCTCAATTTAAAACTGTAATTGAACCTGGATTTATGGTCCCAAGTCACTCTGATTGTTAAGCAAGTCACATGACCAGACCCAATTTTATGACATTTTTTGCAGCAGTCATTAAGCGAACACAGCAGACATCCATTTTATGAATCCATTTTACCCAATGGGCAGGTTTTGCCAGAAACCTAAAGTAAAAAACATCCAAAATTGCATTCACATAACTGGGATGCTGCAAGCAAACTGCCGAGTGCCCAAATTGCAATCGCTTGGCTGCAAGGGTGTGTGTGTATGTGTTCGTCGAAATTGGATGATAGTTTTTGGAGGGTCCATCATAACTTGTCACTAAGAAACTGGTCATAAGTCAAGGACCACCTGTATTTCAGGATGCCCGAATTTCTTTTTGCTTTGCAATATTCTTCAACTGATTCAAATGTCTTTTGTTTTTATCCAACCTAATATTCAATCTATGATCTGGAAATCTTTTATTTTTTTTAAAGAAGTTTAGGTCCAGAAAATTTCTAAATAAGCAGAATTAATTTAATCTGGAATTTTGCCAGTGAGGTTAGACATAAACGCAACCAATCAATAAGAAACACTTCCATAGGAATTTTAAATTTTGGAGTAATGTGAAAAGTTTTTGCTTGGAGAGAGCAACTTAAAAACTGATTAGCTTTTGTGCTGGTCTGAGAGACCCAGAGAGAAAGAACTACTTTATTAGAAAGCATAATACTCTTTTAAATGATCTACCTATAGCAGTGATGGCGAACCTTTTAGAGACTGAGTGCCCAAACTGCAACCCAAAACCCACTTATGCATCGTCGAATGCCGGGTGGGTGTGGCCCATTGGCTGGGCGTGGCCCATTGGCTGGGCGTGGCTGTGGTGGTAACGGCAGACTGGGTGGGACTAAAAAGTTCAATCAATCAATTCCAACTTTGAAAGATCTTATTTTTTTTCCCACGAGAAGTTGAAATTGATTGATTGATTGAACCTTTTTTTTTTTTTTTTGCACATGACGGCAGAGACCTAAAGCGAAAAGGTTTTATAAAACCCAGCTAAAGGCCTAGGACTGGGGCGACGGTGCGTATGCCCACAGAGAGGGCTTGAGTGCTGCCTCTAGCACCCGTGCCATAGGTTCATCACCACTGACCTATAGTTTAAGTGTCATATACCACAGAAACAGAACCACCAGGAGCCAAAACATCCCGATGCCAGCCTGGTCTAGAATCCCTGCTGGGATCTTGCCTGGCACCAACATGGCCAATGTACAAACAAGAGAATCAGAATAAAAATCTACATTATTGAAGTGTAGATGCAGTTTATTCTTCCATGGGTTAATTAGAGGAAAGTAATCAAGCCAATTTGAGGTTCAAGCATGAAAATATGCTTCAGAATTGCAACATAAATTCTTCTCTTTCCTACCTCCACTTACAATTTCTTTGGATAGAGGCACCCCTGTTATTCCTAACAGAACAAAATAACATTTGTTTTGTTTCCCTAATTCCATGTTTCTCAACCTTGGCAACTTGAAGGTATGTGGACTTCCATCCCAGAATTCCCAAGGGGAATTTATAAAAAAAAAAAAACAACGAGATTTGTAAAACAGCAGGCCTTTTCCTTACAAAACGCCAAAATGAATTGTCTGTGTTTAAGCCTTCATAATGCATTCTCGTATCCATACAAAACGTCAATCTTTTATAAACCCCGCCCTCCCTCGCCTGCCATTTCTCAAACGGAACTGGTGGTTACCATCAATATTTAGCATCATTTTCCACATTGCTGGTCGAACAGACTGATGAAATCCAAACCAAACTTCCCTGCCACCTCCCAACGGATGATCATAGCCTTCGGGAGCCGAAAAAAAGGAACGGCCTACAGGTGTATACCTGTGTAGGGAAGGAACCAAGTTTTTTAATTGATCTATTTCACAGGTCATCGTAAACTACATCAGACAGGTCAAACTCGCGATGTATTGGAGCTTTTTCCCCATTGCCGGCAATGGGGCAGGCGCGGTTTCCTGGCGACGCATCTGGCCCACGGGCCGGCAGTTTGACACCCCTGAACTACATGAATGCCTGGTGGCTCATAATAATAATAATAAAACAATAGAGAATAATAAAAAATAAATAAAGAGAATACAGGTAGTTCTCGAGTTATGACCACAATTGGGATATGACCAGCAAGCAATGCAATTGTTAAGTGAGTCGTGCTCACTTTTACTACAGTTTTTGATGTACGATCGCAGGGAGGGTGTCACAATGGTAACTTCTAGGATGGGTCATAAGTTACTTTTTCTAAGACTGTTGTAAGTGCCAACCATCATTAGACGAATGGTTAGTTAGGGGCATGGTGGCTTAACAGTTAAGATGCTGGGCTTGTCAACACAAAGGTTGGCAGTTTGAGACCCAGGTACCACATGACAGGGTGAGCTCCCATTCCTGCCAACCTAGCAGTTTTGTTGTTGTTAGTTGCGAAGTCGTGTCCGACCCATCGCAACCCCATGGACAACGTTCCTCCAGGCCTTCCTGTCCTCTACCATCTTCTGGAGTTCATTTAAGCTCACGCCTCCTGCTTCAGTGACTCCATCCAGCCACCTCCTTCTCTGTTGTCCCCTTCTTCTATTGCCCTCCATCTTTCCCAGCATCAGGCTTTTCTCCAGTGAGTCCTTCCTTCTCATTAGGTAGCTAAAGTAGTTGAGTTTCAACTTCAGGATCTGGCCTTCTAAAGAGCAGTCACAGTTGATCTCCTCTAGGACTGACCGGTTTGATCGCCTTGCAGTCCAGGGGACTCGCAGGAGTCTTCTCCAGCACCATAGTTCAAAGGCCTCCATTCTTTGGTGCTCAGCCTTTCTTATGGTCCAGCGTTCACAGCCATACATAACAACTGGGAACACCATGGCCTTGACTATACGTACTTTTGTTGGCAGGGTGACGTCTCTGCTTTTTAGTATGCATACCTAGCAGTTTGAAAGCATGCAGATGCGAGTAGAAAGTAACAGCATGCCATGTGCCTCAGCATACAGTCATGCTGGCCACATGATCAGCGAAGCATCTTTGGATAACACTGGCTCCCTCAGCTAGCCAATGGAGATGAGCACCGCCCCCTGGAATCAGACACAACTGGACAGGAGAAAACTTTACCTTTTTTTTTCAAGTTGAGGGCTACCTGCATTCCGTCACTGAGAACCATTCATTTATCATTTATCAACCATTCAAAGATACAAAGATGCTGAGAAATGACCCTTAAGACTAGTTCTTGCACCTACGACTGCTGCAGCATTCCCGCGTCATGTCATCATGATCGGTGTGCTTTGTAATTGGCTTGCATTTACAACAGTTACAGCATCCCAGGGTCACATGATTGCCACTTGTGACCTTCCCAGCTGGCTGTAGAAGAGCAGGCAGATCTTGGGGTGGGGAAGTGGAGAATTAAACACATCATCAGTTTAGAATGCTTGTACTGCCACAAGAGATTCAAGTCCAGTCTCTCCTGAATTCCACTGACCACTATTGAGCACCAATTTAGTGCTGACCATTAGATGCCTAGGTTCTTGTGCATAGGTATCAATAAATCATCTACGTTGCAACCTTATGAATAGTCCTGATTCTCTGCACCTGCCACTGTCCTCTGACAAGCAAAGTCAATTGGGAAAGATAGATTAACTTAATGACTGTGTAATTTGTTTAATGACCATAGTGAAAATGATCATACATTTGGGGCTGGTCATATTGACTTGCTGTCAACGCTGCAAATATTGTATATTCTTGCTTTTGACAATGTGCAGAACTGTCTGGTATTTATGGGGTTAATACAGAGCAGAAGGGGGGGTGGGGGTAAAGGGGGGGGAGAAAGAGGAAGGAAACCTTTGACCTTCACACTAATTGGATAGTATGCTATATGACAGCTAATTTAGGGAGGGAACATACTAATAATTTAACTGCTCAGAGGAAGAGAACTTAGATCTTAGCATAAAAAGCCTCCGTTATGCCTGTGCCATTTTGTAACAATAAATGACTTTTAGGAAAATAAATGCCTGGAAGTTCTTTGAAGTATTTCATTAGCCGGAACCATAACACTTGCTTTATCACCCCACTGACTTATGACAGAGGTTCCAGTCCCAATTGTGATCTTAAGTTGAGAATTACCTGTACTTGTAAAGCAAAAGACAGCGCTTCAAAATTGTCACTTAAATTAAAAGGGTTTGCAAATTGTAGGATCTCATTTTTGAGTTTGCAAACAGAAAATCACTTTTAGACAAGATCTTCTAATAGAGCTGCTCTGTTGTTGTACTAGGAATTAGAACAGCTGAAATCTAATACAAATAGAATTAATTATTAATCAGGAATGAAAAACAGCTGGATTTAGCACCTTTAATCTGTTGAAGGGCTCCACACAAAGGATTTGTTTTATTACCTGGTATTTATTATCTTTTAAAAAAAAAACTGAGAAAGAGAACATTCTAAGAAAAAATAGTTTGCTTGAATTATCTAAGGAATTTATCACAGAAGCGCTTCACACCTCATTTTCCCCAATACCACTCAATCTGGAGTTTTACTTTTCCTTCAATATTCCCCACCTACAAGGGTTTGTCTCATTTTTGGGGGAAGGGAATGTTGAGGTTGTAAAAACCAGGTATGTAGAACATTTACCCTTGAAGGCACTGAAGTTAAACAGGTAGCTTATAAATGTTCAAATTATCAACTTTCAAAGACCAATTCCCATTATAAACAGCCGGTTCCTGAAAATATATCTTCATATAAAATTGCTTTAAAAACACAGATTTTGTAATTTCAAGCTACAGACCTAATACACAAGATGAAGCAACACAGCTGGTGTTGCTTCTGCTTTAGTGTCTGTCACTTTGTCTTTATTGTCTGTCACTTGTCACATTCACAAGTCTCCCATTGCCCTTGATCTTCACTTAATGACATACTTGTGGGAAAACTTTCCAATTATTCAAGAATTTTCCTATTCATTTCTACTGGAACTAATCTGCTCAACAAACACAACTGAGAAACTTTCAGGGATCTCACTAATGCAAAATGCACGCTCTCCTCATCACCCCAAACCCTTGCAGGCAAGTCTAAAACAGTGTTTCTCAACCTTGACAATTTTAAGGCATGTGGATTTCAACTCCCAGAATTCCACAGCCAGCAATGCTGGCTGTGGAATTCTGGGAGTTGAAGTCCACATGCCTTAAAATTGTCAAGGTTGAGAAACACTGGTCTAAAAGCAAAACTGCTCAAAAAAACAAAATTAACTATAGATATAAACAGCACAGAGCACAGCGGGAAACCTACTTCATGGAGGGTAAATGTCGTAGCACCACATCAACAGCATGAACAGGGTTAGTGCTGATTGGCTTGTCCAATTCCAGAGGCTCAGGTAAGGTTCGTCCAGTCAGAACTTCATGCAAGAGGTGCCAGCTTACCCGGGAAACGAATTTTATGGACACCTTGAAGGGACGGTCTTTCCCACCTTCTCCTGGCAACGTTACATCCAAATCAACCTATTGGGAGAAACACCATGGAAGAGGAAGTAAAAGGGTCAAGCTCAGTGTGAAAAGTCAAGAGAGATGGGCTTGTAAATTTTACTTTCATTTCTTTGCTAACTGAAATATATAACAAACAATTGAAAACAACGATGAAGCAATGTCTTATAGCTTTAGATCTGTCACAAATAAGGAAACCATGTAACTGTCTTACCCCAGTTGTTGCTACAGGGAGTGGATTGGCTGTATAAAGGCTTCTTTTACCATCGTAAACTGGTCTACGGTCACCAAATATTGTCACTTTAAAATGCTGCACCATTGAATCTACTACCTCCCTAGGAAAATTAAAGAGGGGAAAAAAGTATATTTGCACATTTAAATGGCACGACATTCAGAGAGAATAAACAAAAGAAGTTCATTACATTAAATATAATTATTAATAAGAATAAAGTTGGACTATATCAGTGGTGGCGAAACTTTTAGAGACCGAGTGTCCAAACTGCAACGCAAAACCCACTTATGCATCAATGGGTGCCGAGTGGGTGTGGCCACCGAGCTGTCGGCTCGTGCTCGCTCGCTCGCTGTCCGCTCCGACTCGTGCTCGCTCTCACGCTGCCTGCAGCAAATGCTGCTTCCGCAGAAAGTTGCTCCTTTTATAGCCTCTCGCCTATTCCCAGACTGCGCATGCGCGGAGAGGAGGAGCAATGGCTCATGTGTCACCAGAGACGGCTCCGCGTGCCGCCTGTGGCACACGTGCCATAGGTTCACCACCACGGTACTATATCATTAATAACAATAAAACAATCTAATCACTACACAAGGGAGATGGAAAAAGCTTACAGGTATATTCTCAGTACCCCTATATAGCTTTTTAGTTTGGAAAGACAAGATACAGTATAAATAATAAATAAAAATAACTTGTAGCATGTGTTTAAATACTAGACAAGCCATATCTTATCTCTGTGTTTTCTAATTTTGAATTCTTTTATGCAAAGCTGCTTATTTACGTAATCTTTTCTTATTACAGTAACTTCAGCTGTCTAGCTTCCTCTAAAACACAAACATTATATTTTTTTCAGTGTCGGTAGATTAAAAACAGTCTTTACCCTGATCCGATCATTTATTCCTTCCCTACCACATTAAAACTGCTGTTTTTGTGTTTTGTATTCCTGGTACAGCTTTCAGATTAGAGATTATTAGATACTGATTTTTTTTTAAAAAAAAAAACTATTTTAAAAAATAGTTTAGATTTTAAAAATAAATATTTAAAATAATTTTTGAATAACCTGTCAGAAGGAAAGGCAATTTTAATGCTGTGAATTTTGTTGACTAGTGCATTTAACACACCAGAACAAAACAGTCCAGACCGCTAGATAAATCTAGTGTTTTGATCCCATTTCAATCTACTTTTGAATCACATGGGGGAGAGGAGAGATAAAAGCAATTGCTCTTTGGTGGTACACCACATCATGAATAGATATATAAGAGAAGTAGGAGGCCTGTTCATCTTTTCAGGAGATTTATATCATTTTAGGATTAGGTGATATGACTCCATTTGTCTCCACTCATACTTGGTTATTAACTACTTCAAAATGATTCTAGGAGACCTCTGTTTGTTCTGCCACATCACTTATGGAGCACATTCTATTTTGTCTTCTGAGGTTTAATAGCTACTAAAAAGCAGGAGTCTCCCAATCTTGGCAACTGTAAGACTTGTGGCTGGGGAATTCTGGGAGTTGAAGTCCACAGGTCTTAAAGTTGCCATGTTTGGAGACCCCCTGTTATAAAGGAATGTCATCCTTGAAAGGCAGTGATGAACATCATCTCCTGTCAGCTCTGAATTGATAATACTCTTTCTGTGACAATGACCTAAAAACCCATTTATCAATTTTTTAAAAAAAATGTATAGCCAACATGTCATTTTCTTTAGAAAAGTATTATACAGCTTGAAAAGCAAATGGCTTTTTATAAAAACAGATCTGCCAATTGGCATTTGAAACAAACTGGAAGTTAATGAAGGCGTTAATACAAGCAAAACATTTCCAGTGGATTCTATTCAGTTAGATTATAGCACTGTGGACCATTTGATGCTTCTGAAGCATCTTTGAAAAAACGGTAATTTTGAAGTTAACAAAGCATGTTTAAACAGATATTTAGTGCTACTTTCACTCCAGCAACGGAAAATTGGATTTAAAACCTCTAAGCTAGAGAAAGTTCTATTGGTCCTTATACTTTTGTAAATCCTGCCTTTTTCACTCAAGCCTGCAGCTTCATTGAAGTTCTCCAGAGATGCCATTCCTTGAATATTTTCAGTTATTGACACTAAGTGATGCAAAGTATGATTTCTCAGTGTATATAGAATTACAGAGGAGGAAAGTCCAACCTCTAGCTCACAGCGAGAATTCAAATTAAAGCATCCCTATCAGAAAGCTATCCAGAAGGAGCTCGCCAACAATCTTGGTAATTGGTTCTACAGCTGAAGAAGCCCTACTGTGATAATTTTTCCCTAACACCCAGGTAGATTGTTTTGGGATGGATTCATGCTGACTTTTGTCATTACTGTACTGTTTTTCAAGATCACTTGAGATTAAGTGCTCTCTGAATCTCCCTAGGTTCTAAGGCAGTGGTTCTCAACCTTTTTAATGTCGTGACCCCCAATCGGTCGTACGTCAAAGACTACTCAACCAGTCATAAGTCAAGGACTACTCAACTGGTGCAGCACCGTTTGCAGAATGGGACTTTTGGCGGGCTCAGCAGGGCAGAGACAGCCTGGACAATTCCTATTGGCTTTTGAAAGCCAATAGAATTAGACTCTATTCAAGAGAGTCTATTATATTGGCTTTCAAAAGCCAATAGAATAAAAGGGAGTAGCACAGCTAAGGAAAAGGGGGGAAAAAATGGCGGACTGCGTTGTTTGGCGACCCCCGTGAAATGGTCGTTCGACCCCAAATGGGGTCCCGACCCACAGGTTGAGAACCACTGTTCTAAGGTATTGATGACAGATAACTGGTCTACAGCATTTGAAAGGAAAATATTCTAAGTCATTATGGAACAGCAAACAGACTTTTGTGTTTAATATTATTCACCTTGAAACCTCAAGATACGGTAAACAAATAATCTCTTGTATAATCACAAGAACTGTGGTGGGAAAAATGGAGGGAGAGAGGTCAGTTTTGAATAGAAAATGAATATAAAACTAACAGTATAAATATAGAATACACAAAGCATAAACCTTAATGTTGCACAGAGCCCTTTTATATAAAATTGTAAAATGTTACTTATCTATACATGTATTTTACAACTAAAATTATATTCTTTGTAATAATTATATAGCAACACCATTCCTTAAAATTAACAGGCCTCAATGGACTAAGATCACAGGATTTAAACCCAATTCTATCATTTTTTCTTTGACACACCAAATTCCCTGAAGTCGCAAAACACATATTTTCATTATCTCCTAAAGATGAGTATTTAAACAACACAGATCAATATTACAGCAAAAATAAAGGAAGCATTATGGAAAATCTAGCCAAGAATACTTACTGCATAGCATATAAACAATAGCTGATGAAACTACTCAGCAAGTATAAAGTCAGTCAGCTGCAAGACCATGATTTCACATCATATGGATATTGCAGAAGCCCAAACCAGTTTGAATTCTTTTTAATTTACTCAAGCTAAATTACTTGCCTAGTGGACAAATTACATGATCCCTCAATAGGAAGAACAAGATACACGTCTGGTATTAAAACCTTTCCATTCAAGGGACTTCGAAATTCTACTTTTTCTTGAAATCAAACCAGAGTTAATTACCTATTTTCACCATTTGCAGATCAAGAGACAGAGTTCTTACCTATGGGTTCAAAACCTTTAATACACGTAAAAAGTTACCCATGTTTATAGTTTCCAGTTCTAATGAAGCATTTAATCAAATATAATTCTAGAACTAGAACTAGAATTGCTTATGGGACACTGTGCTACTTTAAATAAAACTGTAAGATTGCAGAAGATGCAGAAAGCAAACAACAAAAATGTCTAAATGGTTGGAACAATTCCTGTGTTTTGATTTTCTTTGGTACAGAAAATTGTCAAGTTGGAATAATGTATATAACATGGAGGGCATGGTGAAAGTGAATGGAAAGTTCTTGTATAAAATAGAATAAGTTGCACGACGAGGCAGAACGGTAGTTGACTGAAGACAGGGAGTTTTTTTTTTAACTGTATACTACTGAGCACTGAAAACTGCTATTATAGGACTCCTGTAACATCCACCAATTTGGACAGCTTCACTGGATACAAAGCAGTTCATGATCTTTAGTCAAGATCACGATAGTATTGCTAGTAACGGTGGTAATTTGCCTCTCAAAGCCAGTTGCTGAAAACTAAGGTTTTGAGGTTATTATTCTCTTATGTTCTGTTTTGGGCTTCTCAGCGGCATCTCTTTGACCACTGTGGAAACAGAATGTCAGTTTAGATATACCCTGGGTCTGATCCAGCAGGGCTTTCAGCCTATTCAGATCTAATCCGCAACTGGTTGACTATTTGTATTCTGATTAATACATTAACAAGCATTTTTTTACTAAGCCATGACACTCAAGTTTACTATCCTACCAAGAAATAAAAATCATCCAGTAAAGCAAATTTGTTTTTTTAAAAAAATCCATGTTTCTCTAATAGCACTACTGTGAAAACATGGCATTTCTTAGAAGCCCACGCTATAATTTCAGTACAAAAAAAAAGAGTGTTCTATATAGAGACTAAACCAGATTCATGATGAATGTTAACTTTCAAAAGTTGTGCTTAATTTCGGTTTGAATTCTACTTATTCCCAAATTACTTAAAAGTGCTAATGACTCTTAAAAACAAAGATGAAGTTACTCACTTTTGCCACATTCTACTTGCTCTGTCAATGCTAAAGACATATGCCATTTTTTTTAAATGAATTTTAATTCCTTTCCGGTATGTGGGTGTCTATGTAAAACAATGTATGTTCAAGTTATAAATTTACTCCTCAATCCAAGAATAAAAAAATATGTTCTCCGCGTCAGCTATTTTTTTAAAAACAACAACATAAAAACACTATCAAATGAAATGTTTTCTCCTCAAACAAGAGTGCTGATCAGCTTTATTTACTAAAAGCATCTCACTTCATTGGCTATATCAATATTAGTAAGCTAAAATAACATTACCCATTATAACTTACCTGTTCACTCTCCTAGGACACTTATCTGGCTTAATGTCCACCTCATAGAGGTAGACGTCAATCTTTGGGATTTCAACTTGGAAGCAGTTGGCCAGCAGTTTAATAGGTTTCCCCATGGTGCCATAGCCAGGTCGTCGAGGCACCATGAGTAGGGGCTGAGCCCCAACGGTTCCTGCAAATAAAGCAAGGGTAAAACTTAAGAGATGGATGCTGAACCTGTTTTAGTGACATTGGTGCAACTGCGAGAAGAAACATTCAGAATTACTCCCTTCAATACATTTGCACAAATATTACACTAATTTCCATCTGCAACAGATAGACCAGTGATGGCGAACCTTTTCAAGACCGAGTGCCCAAACTGCAACCCAAAACCCACTTATGTATCGCTGGGTGCTGGGTAGGCGTGGCCCATTGGGTGGGTGTGTCCATTTGGATGGGCGTGGCCCATTGGGTGGGCGTGGCTGCGGTGGTAACGGCAGACTGGATGGGACTAAAAAGTTCAATCAATCAATTCCAACTTTGCGAGATCTTTTTTTTTCCCCGCAAGAAGTTGAACTTGATCGATTGATTGAACCTTTTTTTTTTGGGCACACAGTGGCAGAGACCTAAAGCGAAAAGGTTTTATAAAACCCAGCTGAAGACTTAGGACTCGAGTGATGCTGCGCGTGCCCACAGAGAGGGCTCTGTGTGCCACCTGTGGCATATGTGCCATAGGTTCGCCACCACGGAGATAGACCCACCTAATCTTGGGTGATTTCCTAAATGCTAAGCAGTTAGAACTGGTCAGTAGTAAATGGAAGATCATCAGAAAATTCCAGGGCTGTAGCTGAAACTGGAAAGTTTTTTAAAAAAACATCATCCTGAAACAAGGCAATATCAAGTCTTCTTTTGCACTGTTGACAAAAAAGCATGAATCAAACTGGATGCAAGGGAATTTTTTTTCCTTCTTTGATATTAGAGGTGGTTCTCAACTTACGACCACAGTTGAAACCAAAACGTATGTTGCTAAGGAAGGCAGTTGTTAAGTGAGTTTTATCCAATTTTACAACCTTTCTTGCTAGAGCTGTTAAGTAAATCACCACAGTTATGAAGTTAGTGACATGTCTTTTAAAGGAGTTTGGCTTCCCCCATTCACTTTGCTGATCAGAAGTTCGCAAAAGGTAATTATTACATGACTACAGGACACTACAACCGTCATAAATACATGCCAGTTGCCAAGCAACCAAATTCTGATCACGTGACCATGGGGCGGCTGCAACGCTTGTGTGAAAAACGTAACTTTTTCCAATGCCGTTGTAACTTTAAAGGGTCACTAAATGAATGGCTGTAAGTTGAGGACCATCTATACTGTTTTATTCCTCCCTAATTAGCCACACCTTGAATGAATTCTGATGTGAATTCATCTTGTGGCTTATAATTTTCAGTCCCGCCGTTACCGTGCATATGAAATAATATTCCTTATACCTAATAAAAATGTTCAATTTAAACCTTATAAACATATCAAACAATTTTCATAGTCCTTTTCTCCCAATCCATCAAAATTCTGGGCGCACTGATCTCAAGTTTAGAAAAGCACAGCTTTTCCCTTATCAGTCTCTAGGTTTCCCCAGATCTGTCTCTAATATCTTAGATCGGAAGCTCAGACAATCAAATGCTAATTTCAGATATCTTCTGCCCTTCAGATATCTGTGGTGGCTGTATTTTTATAATTCTACTGAATTCATAAATAAAATAGCAGAAATACATGTACAGCAGTACATAAATGAGAGGTGTACAGTGTCAATTCTCAAGTACTAAGAACTGAGGGTCCCCCTTACTGGTCCGTGGCCCATTGGGAACTGGGCCGGGCAAACGGTGGCCACGCATGGGAAGCTCCATCTGCATAACCGGTGTGCATGTGCATGAAGCCATCTCCTCCCACCTGCCACTGCCATCACCACTATTGCCAGTCCACAGAACTGGAAAGGTTGGGGACCATTGTGCTAGAGCAGAGTTTCCCAACCTTCCCAGCTTGGCGGTCCGGAGGGAAAGGGAGCTGCAGGGAAATGGGCACGTGCATGAAGCCCGCACACACGTGCACAAATGGGCATGTGCACACTGGTGGCGCTATCATCTGTGCGCATGTGCAAATGCCCACACACATGCGCAAACAGGCTGCCAGCACCCATGGCACCCACGTTGGCGCACGCATGCATGTACGAACAGGCCAACAGCACCCGCGTGGTGGTGCTAGCGTGAGTAGGGCGGGGCTCACCAGCTTTTCCTGGGGCCCGGTGACCAACAGGCCACGGCCTAGTACCAGGATGCAGACCATAGGTTGGGGACCCCTATGCTAGAGGACACACAGCTGCCTTTATTAGAATAGGAAGATTAATTAGCCTCCTTTCCCCTCTTTTATAACCATGATGTGATCCACATAATTTTCCAAATCAGTGAAGTGAAAATGTTTAGAGTCCCAGTCCTACTAGTTCCCGGTCCTACTAGCAACTAACTTAGTCCAATTTGTATTTGTTTTGCCAGCACAAATATTTTTCAAGCACAACTGCACAAGCACAACTGCAAAAGCAATACCCATCCGCAAAAAAGAATAAAATAATAGTACAATCAGATATGAATTAGTATGAATCAGAACAGAATATAGAATATAGAATAGAATATAGAATAGAGTAGAAGTAGAATAGAATAGGTTCTTTATTGGCCAAATATGATTGGACACACAAGGAATTTGTCTCCCAAAATATTTTCACTATCCACAATCAACACTCTCAATTTTCTGTGTCGTGTCCAGTATTGGAGCTATGACGGTGCCAGTCATTAATGAAAAAAAATAAAGAAATTAAAAGAAGAGTTATACATTACTCTGGGGTTCTTGGAATGATTCATAAGATAAATGTCATCATTTCTAGACGCAACACAATCAACCATAACCACCACTTTCATACACCTACACATAATAGAACTTGCACATATTCCCACTTATTGATTTCAGCTGTTAATATCACTGATGCACGTAAAAAGCAGTAACGTAAATTCATTGTAAAGGATGTTCTGTCCATGGTTTCAAAGGTTATATTGCAATATATTAAATTTCACAGAGCTTTCAGAAAATTATAATAATCACAAAAGGTTAACAGATAAAACCAATATCACATCATTTAAGAAAATGGTTTTACAATATGAGTCCTTGTAATCTATTCTATAGAAATTTATTAATGTAGCAATTTAAACTACCAGAACTTTAAATAGTTCTAACTGGAAGAAAAGTATCAACTCAGACAAGCATTGTCTTTGTTAAGTCTATGACTTGTATTTACAAAACATTGAAAGAAATAATGTAGCAAGGAGTTTAAATATTGTTTGTCATTACATCTGCTTCTCCCTGAAAGAATGAAATCCCTTTGGAGGGAGCTTTCCCATAAATCATTCCCTACTGGGAAAATAAATGTATTTATTTGTTAAATTTATTCTGTTTCACATTCACAATTTATCTGAAATCATCTAAATTATAAATCTAAAATATCTGAGATAATAGGATTGTTTAAAAACTGCTGTTCCTGAAAGAAGTTCAAAATGAAGTTCAGCATGTAAAGCAATGTCATTACAAATTATTACAAGAAAATGTATAACTGTTGGGACTGTACATGTTCAAAGAATTGGGTGCTCTTTGAAATGATTAGGAAAAATACTTTGGAAGTTTCATGAGCACAGCATTTTTCAGCTCCTAATTAAAACAGCGCAGGAGTTTTTCCATTTGAACCTGGAAAACATACAGCTGCTTTAATTAGTATCAGGGAGATATTAAGCTCCAACACAATTCTTTCAAATCATTTCAAAGGGTACAATCCTCTAATACAGTGTTTCTCAACCTTGACAATTTTAAGGCATGTGGACTTCAACTCCCAGAATTCCACAGCCAGCAATGCCAGCTGTGGAATTCTGGGAGTTGAAGTCCACATGCCTTAAAATTGTCAAGGTTGAGAAACACTGCTCTAATAAGAGAACATTCACGCTAGACACAGTTTGTTCCATTTTTAGCCATCCAAAATTGAAGCATAAAAATAACAGGGCGAAATACATAAAAATCCCTCAAAGTAGAAATGAATGTTCAATATAAAAAGCCATTCCTTTATATGGCAATGGTGTATGTTTCACCTATGGCAATAACTTACAATGCAGAGCAGGGGGTGTCAAACTCGCAATGTCACATGTCGCGACATATTGTGACTTTTTTCCCATTGCTGGCAATGGGGTGGCCGCGGTTTTGGCATGACGCATCCAGCCCGTGGGCTGGCAGTTTGACACCCCTGATATAAAGCATACTAGTAAAGAGATGCGTTATGCTGAATACAGCCTTTTTCTACAGAAACTATTAAAGAACAGAATACACAGTAACAGAGTCAGAAAGGGACCTTGGAGGTCTTCTAGTCCAACCCACTGCTCAAACAGGAGACCCTAAACCTTTTGGGACAAATTGCTCTCCAATCTTTTCTTTAAAAAACCTGCAGAGATGGAGCGCTCACAACTTCTGGGGATAAGCCGTTCCACTAACTGTTCTCACTGTTAGAAAATTTCTTAGTTCTAGGTTGGATCTTTCTTTAATGATACTTCTTGTTCTGCTCTCTGGTGCTTTGGAGTGTAGCTTGATCCCCTCTTCCCCGTGACAGTCCTTCAAGTACTGGAAGACTGCTATCTTATCTCTCTCACACACACACACACACACACACACACACACACACACACACACACGGCCTTATCTTTGTTAGACTAGACCAGTGTTTCTCAACCTTGACAATTTTAAGGCATGTGGACTTCAACTCCCAGAATTCCACAGCCAGCAATGCTGGCTGTGGAATTCTGGGAGTTGAAGTCCACATGCCTTAAAATTGTCAAGGTTGAAAAACACTGGACTAGACATATCTCGTTCCCAGACTGTTTATAGGGGTTAGCCTACAGATCCCTTATCTTCTTTGTTGCTCTTCTCTGCACTTTTTGTAGAGTCTCAACTTTTTTTTTATCATGTGACAATGATTCAGGGGCTGCAGCACATGTTTTCCTGGAAGCTGTCCCAACGAATATTACAGTGCAGTGTTTTTCAACCTTGGCAATTTTAAGACTTGTGGACTTCAACTCCCAGAATTTCCCAGCCAGCAAAGAGAGCTAAAATTATTTGAT